CAAACTTTAACTTAGCTAAAAATAACCTTAGTAATTTTATTTATTCGTGAAACCTATAATCGATATAAACCTTTATCAATATTTTTACGTCACGGTATGTGTTGAATCTTAACCTAATTTTTACGTTGTTTTTTTTTTATTTATTTCTTACCAACACCGATATCTTTCTTTATTATTGAAATTAACATTGGAGTTTTGATGAACACTCCTATGGTTTTCGCTGCATTCTCCTCAAATAGCTATTGAACATTGGGTTGAGTTGTGAGTCGTCTTAATTATGAAGTAGGAACAATAGAAATCCGGATGCAACAGCCTTTACATCACCATGTAAGTACTTCTTCATAGCCTGTCATTTTTTATGAAATCTGGAGTATCCATTAAGATCACGCATATTTAAGGCAAATTTTTTTTACAATGTAATTTAAAATAAAACATAATTTGATTACTGAACATATAACTAGTGGCCGAATTTTCGTGCAGTAAAAATCTTTGTAATGTGAAATATACACCTCAAAGCATGCAAAAACGTGCAAAAAAAATAAAAACATGCAAAATGAAACTTGTTCAGATCAATACCTTTTATCTAGTCTTTGGTACTATTTTTATTTTATTAATCCGTCGTACAGACCCCTTCATCGTAACCTGCTGTCTCATCTCGTCATAATATCATTAACGAAAAATGGCGTTTTCAATATAGAGGTCGGCAAACTTTGTCTATTTAATTAGGTTCTAAAAACACGCAAATACCCATTTTCACTTGGACCGTAAGATAATTAGAGCACAAAGTATAGAAAAACTGATCAAATTTCTTAGTGATTACATTAGACATTTGCCCCCTATAATATTAACTAACCCTATAAAAAAACTATAAAGTGGTGCACATTTAATAGTAATAATATTTTATTTATTCTGGGACAATTCCCTTTAGAACGATAACACAAAAAATCAGAAATTTAAGGTATGGAGCCTCAGAGATACATAAAAAATCACAAAGTAAATAAATAATCATAATAAAAAAAGTATAAGTTGCTTTCTAACTTAAAAAAAATTAAATTATCAAAATTAAGAAATACAAATTTTAAAAAAGTAAAAATAATTAAAAATTATCTCATTTATATACATAGTTACAGTGACATCCGTTTATAATTTTATGGGGACTGAATGGATAAGAAATGATTGAACAGGTGGGATTTAAAGGTTGGAAGGGTGTTGAAGCGTCTTATGTAGAAAGGGATGGAGTTACATAGGGATAAGGATCCTATACCTTAGTATCTACACTTTTTACTAAATAGTGCAAGCCTTATATAATTAGAATTTTCTATGTACTTTAAAATCTCTCTTTCGTGAGTTCCATGACTTAAATATATTAATATAGTTAGAAGGTCTCAATTGTCACAGATATGTTTTAAAAAGATTAACTTCAATATCTATACTTTTAATTGAAAATTGTTTGAGCTTAAAACGTTTGGTGTAACATCCAGATCAGAAGTTTCTCCATTTAAAACATGGTTGTGTTACAATAACATTTTATAACCGTATTTTTGTTGTTGAGAAATTCCTTGATTCGTGATTTTGTATTACCATTGTATCTGTACTAAAATGTTACTTAATAACTGCCAATTCACATAATATAATTCACATGTTATAAAGAGAGCATCTTCTAAACTCTCCTTTGATTCTGTGAACTTATTAAAATTATTTGAATAAACCGAGCAGCAGGGGTGCCTATCCTCTTCCCCCAAGGTCGAAGGAGCAAGAACCTACCCTCTCCTCCTTCCCCTAAGATATTCTATTACTCATCTTTGCCTAAAAACAGAGCAAGCAAAGCTATAATTAGAAAAATCGTAGATAAAATACAATTACACTTACTGTGTGTATGTTCTATGTTTTTCCCCGTGTCCCTTACTCCGAAAATTCATAACTCCGCCGAAATTTGTCCTCCTTACAAATTCAAAAACTCGTCAAAATATGCCTTCCTCAAAACTTTTAATGGCGCAACTTGCACCATGAAACTCCCTTCTGGGGTGCCGAGCAGTCTCTATCGATGATCTCTATCTGATTATTACTGCTTCAGAAGGTAAAGGACAAATTATTGTTTGTAAAATACCACAAGTCAAAGTATTTTCGAGCTTTCTGAAATATTTTTTTACCATTGTTACTTATTTTTTTATCAAGGCCGAAGATTTTACAATATTTTTTCGCGAAGTTTATTCAGACCATACTTTACGTATGTCATGTTAATCACGTTGAAAACATCTTAAAAGCCTTTCCAGTTTACACCATATAAGCCGTTTTTCGGTCAATAATACCAAAAAAATAATTTGTCACATACCAAAACTATGGCTAAAGAATTGACGTGCCATATCATAAGTTGTGTCCGATATAAGAATAATTGAGATCTTAAGACAAATCATTTAGTAGTTCCCTTTTGCTACTCCAATGTTGCTTCAAGATCACCCAGATCATGCTAATACCGAAGTCCTGATGAGTACCGAAAGTGTCTTGACTTACTTATTAAAGTTTGTGTTTCAAACTTCAAGTTTTTGTGTAAAATGTAAACTATGCGTGCTGCATAGGTTAGGTTATATTCTTTCTAATTCGTAAATATGTAAAAGAATAAAGTACATATTTAGGAAAACATCTTCTGCTAAAAAAATAAGTTCGTAAGGCTTGTTAGCTTTAATCGTTGCCAACACAAAATGGTAAAATACTTAATTAAAATAAAAATTAATTCCCTTCCCTATCGATAAATATCCAAATCATGGCAACCACGAGAGTGTAACAATGTAGTTTTGCTTGTCTCTTCCATGTTTCTCCGTGTTCTTGGCCAATTCGTCGGCACGTGGGGATATCAAACAGAACACGCGGAAAGTACTCGATATTTCATCAGATTTTCAATTCTGTAAGAAAATTACAAACAAAAGATTAAATCTATAATTGATGTTTGAATACGAGCTTCACTGTTTTGATGATGTCCTTTATTGAGAAACTTTAAAATCAAAATACTTGTATGAACCGATCCGATTTCGTTATAGAGGGCGATCAGTATTCGTAAGACCATATTACTATTTTTTTCATTTTTCTTTTCACAGATGGGCAGGTTTTACGGTACTTTTATTTAAAAGTTCTTTTAATTTCGCCGAAAATTCAACAAACAAAAAATTACTTTTATTCTCAGCTCTCAAACAAAAGACAGATTACAATCAAGTAATTCATTTAAGATAAATTATAAATATAACCTAAGTCCAATTAGTATTTATTTATCAACTTAACTTAACTTTAATTAAGAACTTCAATAAATAAACGTTAAATTTTTGTTAACATTGTTTCCTAAAACGTTTCATAGAAACTCTTAAAATAGAGCTTTTTAATAAATTTCAACCCCTGTATTTCACATTGACAGTCTGAAAAGGAATTACCAAATAAAGTACATAATTCTAAATCAATTCAACATATATAATATTTTTGCACAATAACTGTTTTTATTTGTTTTTTGTCATACACTAATAATTGTAATTTCGATTCTTTTATTTATGTTTTTGATTCATTTATCATAAAATTCATTTATGCCATTGTTAATTACTAATGAATAAGCTTTCATAATAAAATATTTCAAAACATACGTAGCAATTTAAAACATTGTTGCCTACACATCTATCTACGATTTATCTATTAGCTGATTGCCTAGTCCACTATATGGTCTATCTATCCCAGCAAACAAAACAACTGTTAGAGAAAGCTTCTAAAAGATAAGAATGTTTTTTCGCCTTTTTTTAAC